ATCCCAGCACTCGGGAGATCTGAGGCAGGAGGATCGTTACGAGTGCAAGGCCAGCCTGGGCTACAAAATTAGTTCAAGACCAGCTTAAACTGCATAGTGAGACCCTGTCTCAAAAAGACAAAAAATAAAATAAAATAAAAAGACGATTACATTGCAATCCATTGTTTAGTTTACGAATAATGCGTCGCATCTGGTCCTTGCCTAGGGAAATTTAAAGAAGTGCAATGGTCACGGGCCTCCGACACGCAGCCGTAAAGGTCTTGGAGCCCGGAGGGAACTGATAATCGCGGAACCTTTCTTCTGGCCCCCGGTGCTCGGGACAGCCCGGCAGGAGATACGCCAGGGACTACGCTGCGTCGCGCCGCCGCAGTCTGGCATTAGTCGCCACGGTAACGCGCACAGGAAAGTGTCTCACTATGAGCGCCCGGGTCACGCGAGTCGCGTGGGCCCGGGGCTGGGGCGCCCGCTGCTATGGCGGCGCCTCGAGCTTTCCAGTGCCCCCGCCAGGGGCCGTGGATGTGGCGGAGCTGCTGCGGGACGCAACCGCGGCGGCGGAGGGGCCGTCGGCGGCGCGGGCGCGGCGGCCGCCCGGCCAGGGCACGGTGCTGCTGTTCCCCGGCCAGGGCAGCCAGGTGGTGGGCATGGGCCGCGGGCTGCTGGGCTTCCCGCGCGTGCGCGAGCTCTACGCCGCCGCGCGCCACGTGCTGGGCTACGACCTGCTGGAGCTGAGCCTGCACGGGCCGCAGGAGGACCTGGACCGCACCGTCCACTGCCAGCCCGCCGTCTTCGTGGCTTCGCTGGCCGCCGTGGAGAAACTCAATCACCTGCAGCCGGCGGTGAGGCCGAGGCCCCGGGACGGCGGGAAACGCGGGCTGCCGAGCCCGACTCACAGGGCAGCTTCGGACTGAGTTCCAGAGGGGCCAGGCCCTGCTGTAGGCGCCGTGGCAACACCTAGATCCCCGCCCCGGGGAGCTGACATCTACTGCAGACGGATAACAAATATATATGTGTGTGTATATATATATATATATATATATATATATATATCGATAAGTCACAGAAAGAGCCGAGAAAGGGGTTGTGATTTTTAATTCTCTGTATTGCATAATTTAAACAGGCTTAAACTCAATCCTAATTTTTTTTTCTGGTACTGCAGATTGAACCCAGGGCTTTTGTACTGAGCTACATCCCCAGCCCCCTTTATTTGTATTTATATTCGAGATAGGGTCTTGCTAAGTTGCTCTAGCTGAGTTTATTTGTTTTGGGGGGCTTTTTTTTCTTGTTTTTTTCCAGTACCAAGAATCGAACTCACCACCTCGTGCTTGCCAGGTAGGCGCTGTGCCGCTGAGCTAAATCCCCAGACCCTCGAGCTGAGTTTAACTTTCGATTTTTCTGCCTCAGCCTCAGATATTTGAGAATGTGATTTTCCTTGAAAGTGGTGAATCAGCTGCTGTTACTATCGGACAGCATCAAGACAGTAAACGTTAAGCTGGTCCGTGAGCTCCTTCCTTTCACACTCAGCCCGCTGGGAGATGGATACTGCCATGTGGTGGGTGAAGAAAGAATACTCGGGGATAGCAGAGCAGTTAGGGAGTTCTCTTGAGCCCTGACTGCTAGTAACATTCTTTCCATGCTTAACCTGGGCCAGGTCTGTGCGGAGCAATTTACAGACGTTATTTGCACATATTCCCCTCGGCAGGGGCATGAGCCGCTCTCCCCTCGTTTCACAGAGGGCACAGAGGCTGAGAGACATGAGCGAACTGTCCCAGGCTAAGATACCCAGCCTGTGACTTCAAAAGTGATGCTTTGGGGCCAGGGATATAGCTCAGTGGCACAAGTGCCTGCTTGGCGAGTGTAAGGTCCTGAGTTCAATTCCCGGTACCAAAAAAAAAAAAAAAAATGTGATGCTTTTAGCCACCCAACTTCCCCATACCCCATGGCCTGAGAGGCCGCTCCACGCAGAGGTGAGAGGATCCAGAGCCACGCCGTGGGGTCCTCACCCTTCAGGACCGGACTCAGTGACTGTCAGGGCCCCCGCCGGGTCTTCTTCTAGCTGGAGCACCAGGCCAGGGGTACCTAGCTCACGACCACAGGTGCAGCCCCTGGCACTGAGCTCCCCCAGAGCCTCTGGCCTCACTTGTGTCTTCGCTGCAGGTGATTGAGAACTGTGTCGCGGCCGCCGGATTCAGTGTGGGGGAATTCGCAGCCCTCGTCTTTGCTGGAGCCATGGAGTTTGCTGAAGGTACGAGGGAGAGCCTTGGGCTCACCAGGGCGGGGTCTCGCCGGCCCTCCCCGGGTTTCCCCTCGGGGTGCTTTGACATTGGCACTGGGCAGTTCTTTGGGGTGGAGCTGTCTTGTTCATTGTAGGGTGCTGTTTGTAGCAGCGTCCCTGGCCTGTCCCTGTCGCACGTCAGGAGACTCGTATGTGTCAGTCAATCTCTAGTCCCTATGCTGGGGCAGAAGCACCCCGAAGAACACCCCTGCCCTGCACCCACCTGGCTTTGGGGCAGGAAGTGACTGGATGGGAGCGACTGTGGAACCTAGCAGACACAGGCAGGTGCAGTGTGGCCCTGCCGGCCATGGGGACCTGAGTCAGTCTCACCTGCTGTCCACAGGGCTGTACGCCGTGAAGGTCCGCGCTGAGGCCATGCAGGTGGCGTCGGAAGCCACCCCCAGCGGCATGCTGTCTGTGCTCGGCCAGCCTCAGTCCAAGTTTGCCTCTGCCTGTCTGGACGCCCGGGAACACTGCAGGTCCTTGGGCATCGAGGATCCGGTGTGCGAGGTGTCCAACTATCTCTTCCCGCACTGCAGGGTCGTCTCCGGACACCTAGAGGTGGGTGTGGCGGGGCCCCCTCACAGATCCCAGCCCGGCGGTGGGGGGTGCTCTGCACCTGCAGAGCCCCTCAGCACAGTGGGTGTCACCAGCACTGGACACACACAGGCCACTCGGTCAGAGTCCTGCTGTGAAGGGGAGGCCCATGTGCCTGGGACACTCGGGGCAGGAGCTGTGGCAGGGACAGCCCAACACGGGGAGCCTGTAGAATGGGCTCCTGAAGGGTGAGCAGGAGTTTGCCAGGAAGTGGCCCATAAGCAGGGAGGTAGGAAGCCCATGGAAAGGACAGTTGGGTCCATGTGCATGGCTCAAGATGGGGAGGGCCGCGGAACCCAGGAGAGGGCCTGGCATTTGCAGCGTGTGTGTGTGTGTTTGCAGTACTGGGGACTGAACTGAGGGCCTGCGCGGTGAGTGATACCTATATCCCCAGCCCTTTTAAAATTTCAAGACAGGGTCATTAAGTTGTTGAGGCCAAGCTCAAATTTGCAATTCCCTACCTCAGTCTCCCAGAGTGCTGGGATCACAGGTGCACATCACCACACTTGGCTTGGAGGTGATTCTTTTTTTCTTTTTTTTTTCCCCTTTGAGACAGACTATGAAGTTTAGGCTGGTCTTGATCTCACATTGTAGCCCAGGCTGGCCTCCAACTTCAGGCAATCCTCCTGCCTCAGCCTCCAAAGCAGCTGAAGTTACAGATGATAGGTGCGCTCCATAGCGCACATCTGGAGGCAGAACCTGAACCCAAGAGCTGGTCTCACTCTGGCCTTAGTTCCTCCACACTCACTGCCTCCTCCCACATCAAGACCTGGCCCCCACCGCATGTCCTCAGACAGCACCTGTGAGAGCCGCAGCCCCCTCTGTGACCACGGAGACATGACGGGAAGGAGTTAATCACAGGGTGACTGCTCGTTCCTACCAGCCGCTTCAGGAAGCACCCAGAGGGTCTGGCCGAGCTCCTGCCGTGTGCACTGCAGCTGGGGCACGGCTCCTGGAGTCCCTGGCCTGTTCTTTGGGACCCAGAAGTGGCACCCGCAAGGGCCCTGATGAGGGCCCTTTCCTGTACCCAGTGTAGAGCAAAGCTTGCAGGCCTGCTGGGGAGCAGCCGGCTGGACCCTGGCATGGTGACCCTCTAGTTGAGAGGGAGTACGCTTCTTTGGGGGTGCCATCTCCTGTCAGATGCTGTCTCATGTTCCAGCTGGTGCCGCCCCCCAGCAGCTGTGGGGAGGGGGGAGACTGTGCTTGTTTCAGGGAGCAGCAGGAAGAGGAGGGACAAGATGTGCAGTGGCCGGCCTGGGCCACCACCCTGACCAGACCCGTGTTTCCACAGTGACAGCTCCCGGGCTGTACCGCGGTCACCTTCCCGGCTGGGGCATGTAAACGCTCAGGTGCCTGAAGGATGACCTCGGGAAGCCTGGATGTACACCTGAGTTTAACCGGAACTAAACGTGAATTAGGGTTATCACCCAAGGCTGGGCATGGTAGTGCTGGGCTATAATCCCACCACTGTGGGAGGCTGAGGCAGGAGCACTGTAAGTTGAAGCCCAGACTGGGCAGCTCAGCAAGACCCTGTCTCAAAGTAAAAAAGAATAAACACTGACAAGTACTGGGCATGGGGACATAGCTCAGTAGGAAGGCCCAGGACCAGTGCTCAGTGCTACAAAAAAAAAATTACCCAAGGCGTCGGGGGTTAGACCCAAGTGGGAAAGTGTGGCAATGCACATACCGTGTGCACAGGACGAGGTCCGCACAGCTCTCCCCAACCTCTGCTTCCATGACCGCCCCCCCAGGCCCTGCAGTTCCTCCGGCAGAACTCTTCCAAGTACCACTTCCGGCGCACCAAGATGCTGCCGGTGAGCGGCGGCTTCCACACCCGCCTCATGGAGCCGGCCGTGGAGCCCCTGGCGCAGGCTCTGAAGGCCATCGACATCAAGCGGCCGCTGGTCTCCGTGCACGCCAACGTGAACGGGAACAGGTACATGCACCCCCAGCACATCCGGAAGCTGCTGGGGCAGCAGCTGGTGTCCCCGGTGAAGTGGGAGCAGACCATGCATGCCATCTACGAGCGCAGGAAGGGCACCGCTTTCCCCAGGACGTGGGAGGTCGGCCCTGGGCAGCAGCTGGGCAGCATCCTCCGGAGCTGTAACCTGCAGGCCTGGAAGTCCTACGACCATGTGGACGTGCTGCAGTCAGTCGAGGCCCCAGACGAGGCCCTGGACCCCGAGGATTCTCTGAGGTGACCCTGCGGGCCAGAGCGGGGACCCAGTCTGCAGCGCCTGCACAGGGCGGAGGGGAAGCATTGCGTGCCTGAGCTTTGGAAGAGTGGGGATCTCTGCAGTGACCCAGCCCATCCCTCCTCCCAGAGAAAGGTCAGGTGCTGGGGACGAGGCCAGCACGCTGGTTCTGTGGAGCTGGCCGCACTGCGGGCGGTGGCCTTGCTGCAGCCTGGCCAGGGCCTCAGCTCCTCCGTCCCTGTCTCTGTGAGGCCTCAGCAGCCAGCCTGCTCCCCGACAGCTGGAAGACCGAGTCCTGCGACCCTTGTGCGTCTAGGAAGCCTGTCACGTGCCTGCTGTGTGCAGACAGGTGGCAGGGAGGGCCCGGGGCTCGATGGAGTGCACGGGTGGGACGCCCAGGTGTCGTGTCCCACGCCCCACCACTCTGGTGCTGAACACGAGCCTTTGTGAGCAGCCTGAGCCCTGTGTCGCATCTCTCGGTGTGGCGTGCGTGTGCGGGAACGTGTTCTGTGACGTCCTTCGGTATTCCCATAGCACGAGCGCGGGTCACACGCCGGGGCACTTCCTGGCGGGGCCCTGCCGGCCCGTGGGTGTGTGGGATGTCCCCTCTGTGACAGTGTTTCCAGGCACGGTGACTCCACAGCCGCACACATTTCCACGCAGCCCTGGCTGGGGCCACTCCAGGTTTTAACGACACGCTCTTCACCTGGGCCTCAGTGGGTATTGGCGGGAGCATGGGAAGTCTTTGGAAAGAACTTAGTTTTGTGTTTCTTGAGACAGGATCTTGTTTGTTGCCCAGGCCGTTCTTGAGCTCCTGGGCTCAGGGAATGCACCTGCCTCAGCCTCCAGGGTAGCTGGGACTAAAGGTGCACACCACACGCCGAGCTGGGAGGAACTGCTCTGCACCAGGAACTTTGTATTTGCAGTCCTGGGGATAAACCCAGGGTTCACTGAGCTGTAGCCCAGGGCTTCGTTTTTATTTCTGAGGTGGGTCTAAGTTGTCCAGGCTGGGCTCACATTTGTAATTATTTCGCCTGAGTCTCCCAGAGTGCAGGATTATAGGTGTGCGCTACCATATCCAGCTACAGTCCCCTTTCCATAGTGGGGGTTGAACCCAGGGCTTCACACTGAGGTACTTCCTAAGCCTCCCCTTTCTCTCTCTGTTTTGTTTTGCCTTTTTGAGACAGAATTTCACTATGCAGTTCAAGCTGACCTTGAACCCACTTTGTAGCCTAGGCTGGCCTTGAACTCAGCAATCCTCCTGCCTCAGCCTCCCAAGGGCTGGGATTACAGGCATGCACTACCACACCCTTTTTTTTCAGGGCAGAGTCTCAGTTGTCCAGGCTGGGCTGAAACTTGGGATCCTCCTGCCTCAGCCTCCCAGAGTGCTGAGCTTACAGGCGTGGGCCACCGCACCTGGCTTCTAAATACCAAGTCTAAATGCCTTTGTGGGGCCTAAGTCCCAGCAGCGTGGGAGGTGTAAGCGGCCCACAGCCCCAGGCTGGGTGCTTCAGCAGCGCTGCACAGGATGGGAGCTTGGAACTCCAGTCAGCTGCAAGGACCCAAATCCCCAGTAAGGGAGCTGCATGCAGCATGGCAAGGGCCTGTGTGAGGGCGCCGTGAGCGGAGGGAGGCAGCTCCTGCACTGTCCTGAGGCCCAGGTCCCTGCAGCCCCAGTCTGCTCTCCCACCCACAGCAACAGCTTCCCTGGGTGCTTCCTTTCTGAGAAGCTGTCCTGCCCTGTCTTCAGGAATTCTACCGGCAAGGACCTGGTTCAGACGGCAGCCTTTGAGCCACGACAGTTGTTCAGTGTACAGGCCCTTCTGGGAACCTTGGGGCCCCTGGACGGGTCACTTGTGCCTGCTGCTTTATCACCTCCCGAGGGAGTCACCCCAGCAGCCTGTGGCCCCTGCCCCACAGGACCCAGGCTGCTGTGGTGGGGGTGCCATCCTGTGGGAACTCTCGGGACCGCAAGGCCCCATCCCTCCAGGGCAGCTCCGGGTGTGGCCTTGGGGGTGCTGAGCAAGTGTGGTGCCAGCCAAGAGTCCCAGCTGCAAGGTCGAGGAGGAAGGGGGCCAAGAGGCTGCGGCACCCGGTGCTGGGAGGCCATGGGCCACGGTGGTGGGCGGCAGCTGCCACCTGTTCCTGGGAAGGCCCTGCTGCCCTGTTCCTTCAGGGCAGGCCCAGCACCTGCCTCCCAGCGCTCACCTCCTGGACCAGTGACGGCTGTGGAGGAGGCAGGTCCCCAGGGGGCTGCCCATGCCATCCCCGTCCCGTCCCAACCTGGCACGAGAACCCAGCACTGGCCGGTCACCCGCACGCAGGTGGCAGCCCTCTGGGGACAGCCTTGGGCCGGAAGGAGGGCTGGACCAGTGGGCGAAGGCTGGAGGGGTGAGGGGCAGGAGGGGGCAGCCTGGGCCCTAGGTTTTGGGGGGCTGTAGTGCCCTAGGTGGGTGTGGGGCCTGGAGGGCTGTGGGAACCCCAACCCAGTGTGGGCACTTTTGATGCAAGTGGGAAGCCAACTTAGAGCCCTAGTTCTGGGGTCCTCAGTGGGGCCTCAAAAACAACACGAGTCTGGTACTGAGGCAGGTACTGAGCCCACAGGGTGGGCGCCTGGCCCCTCCCCTGGCTCCCCTTGTCCAGGCTGCTCTCCAGCTGACCCCTTCAGCTGGCCCCTCCAGGACAAGTGGACACGAGATAGGCAGGGGACACACATTTCCTACATGCCTCCCTACGAGGCACTGCATGCGGTACAAAGGAAATAATCCCTAATGGTGAACTTCAGGCACCAGGGCCGGACAGGGAGGGGGCAGACCCTGCAAACCCGAGCCAGGACCGGCAGTCCCCAGGCACAGGACCGGCCCAGAGCCCACCTTCTCCTCCCTCCACGTGACCGGCCTCTAGGGGCGCTGCAACACAGGACATGAGCACAGTTGGAAACCAACATTTTATTGAACTCTCCACCTCTCAGAAATCTAGACCAGTAGATTCCGTGTGCCTCAGGCATCAGTGACACGGGTGTGACCGGCACGCCCCTGCCACCCATGTAACCAGCCCAGGGAAGAGCGGCCCAGCCAGCCGAGCACAAGGACAGGCGTTAACCAGTAACGCCCCGAGGTATAAAGAATTCATTCCCTAGAAAAACAGCGCAAACTCCTGTGCGAAATCTCAGCAGTGTTCCAGCACTATCTTGAGCTTAAATATAAAAAGGATCTTCAGAAAACACTACCATTAAAAAGAACAAAGCTGGCCAGGCAGTGGCCACCTGGGAGTGGCGGTGGTGGCCGAGGGGGACAGGGTCCAGCCCCGCCCGACCCCAGCCTCACTGCAGCAGCCGGCGCAGCGTCCCAAGCAGCAGCAGCAGCAGCAGCACGGGCAGCAGCCGCCTGCAGGCCCGGCCGGGGCTCACCTGCGGGACCGGAGGGGACAGTGAGGGCTGGATGAGGCAGAGGGGCGGGCAGGGGTGGGAGGACAGGAAGGTGGCCCGTGAGGAGGAGGAAGGCAGGGGTCAGTCACGACCCGGGCTCTTACCCAGGCGCGGGAGACCAGGCGCCCCCAGGCCCACACGTCCCTGAGGCTGGTGAGACCGCAGGTCAGCCTTCTGAGCACGCCCCAGAGCCCCGTCTGGCTGTAAGCGACGGCCAGGCTGTAAGACAATCGGAGGGGGCGCCTGTGAGCGGGACGCCAGTGCGGAGGGGGTCAAGGGCCTGTCCCCTACCCCACGCCTCCAGGCTGCCTGCTGCACACCCAACTTCCTGCTTCCTCCCCACCTGCTGGCCGCAGGGTGCTGGGCCAGCTCCGAGCTGGCTGTGTGGGACGCAGCTGTGACCGCCGCCCCTGCCGCCACCATCCTGCCGCCCTCCCCAGGGCCCCACTCGCCCACACTGCCCTCGAAGTCGGCGCCTGGGCGGAGTGCTGTGTCCAAGGCTGGGGGAGGTGAAGGGTGGGCACTGCCTGGGAGTGGGTGTCTCCTCCCGGCCTCCCACCCACCCGGGGGCCCGCGGGGTACCTGTGCACCGCCCTCCCGGGCAGCTGGGCCAGGCGGGGGCCCCGAAGGCGCAGGTCCATCTCATCGCCAATGCAGGCCAGCCGCAGGGCCACCAGGCTGCTGTGGGGAGGGGTGGGTGGCTGTGGTGGGTGACACACCCCGTGTCCCCGTGCACAGCTGGGCTCTGAGGGGCTCAAAGAGGGGCCTGAGACCCAGACAGGCGGTCCCAGCCCCCTGGCTCTCGGGTGAGGCATCCTGGGGCGGCTGTGGGAATCTGCCTGGCATCCACGGATCTGATCGCTACACCCCAGGAAAGTCTGGGCATTCTCAGTTTTCTGGGAGCCCCCCCATGCCCCGCAGTCTTGGCAGGATGGGTGCACAATGGGTGGGCAGATTTGAGGCTGGCTCCCTACAGGGGTCTCAGCTGCCCCTCCGGTGACACCAGTCCTGAAACCACCAACTTAGAGCCCTAGCTCTGGGGACTAGGGTCATCACCCATCTGGGAATGGAGACGGTCACAGGCGCACGCTGGCCCCCACTTTCTAACCCAAGTCCTCGACTGAGGGGGGGTGAGCACACGCACCCAGTGCCAGGCACGAGTACACACTCACATATGTGTGCACGCGCACACATGCGCACACCCGGACCAAACCCAGGCCCTCTGTGGCTCGCCCTGCCGGCTCTGATCAGCTCTCAGGAACCGCCCACATTCCCCGAAGGTGACGCCGTGCCGCCGGGATCTCGGCCAGAGTCCTGAGCTCCTGGAACTCGGGCACAGGTGCCCGCCCAGCTCTGCCCAGCACCCCTGTGCAAGCTCCTCATCCTGAGGCCATGGGGCCTCAAGGGGCCTGGCTCTGGGCCAGGCCTTGAGGCGGCCAGCAGAAGCAGGCGCTCCTATGACCCCTCAGGCCAGGTGGGAGCCCTACGACAGCCAGCGTCCAGGCCCCTGGTAGCTGCCTTTGGAGCACCAGGGGCCAAGGTGCGCAGCGAGGATGCCCACTCAGGGACCATCCCCTCCCCCGCTGCCTCCTGCTGCAGGAGCACACCGCCCCCCAGGCCAGCATCCTGAGACCTACCTGCCTTCCAGGCATCCCACGAGGTTAGTGTCCCCGGGGGGACCGAGGTCCTCCCCCCGCAAGGGCTGCGTCACACCCAAGGCGCCTTCAGCCAACAGAGGCCCGGGTAGCGGCTCGTATGGCGGGGCCTCCATGAGCGGGTCCCTGGTGACAGGTCTTGCTTCTGACATATCTCTGGAGGACAGAGACAGAGCCTCAGTGTCACCAGACCCCAGGGAATAGGTGCAACTCAGGACAGGACACTTCTGGGCAAGTGCCATACTACCCAGCCACACCCAGCCCTCCCTGGGTCTTCTTGTCCACAAGCCCTCAGGTCACATGAAACACTGATGAAATAAATGTTATAGGCTGGGCGTGGTGGCGCACGCCTGTAATCCCAGCACTTGAGGGGCTGAGGCAGGAGGATTACTTCAGGTTTGAGGCCAACGTGGGCTACACAGTGAGTGCAAGACCAGCCTAGACTATGTAGTGAGACCCTGCCTCAAAACACTAAACAAAAAAAAAAAGTTAGCAAGGCAGGGTAGCACAGGCCTGTAATCCCAGAAGCTGGGGAGGCTGAGGCAGGATCACAAGTTCAAGTGCTGTGTGAGCAACTGAGACCCTGTCTGAAGAGGGGCTCAGCACCATTAACTAAATAAGCAAATGAGCTAATCTTCTTTTTTTTTTTTTTTTTTTTTTGGTGGCACTGGGGATTTAACCCAGGGCCCTCGCATCAAGCTACATCCCCAGCTCTTTTTTTATGTTTTATTTTGCAACAGTCTCACTAAAGTCACTGAATTATCCAAGCCAGGCTTAAACTTGGGATCTTCCTGCCTCAGCCTCCCACAGGTGTGTGCCCAGCTTTTTCTTACAGGAGTGTGGGCTTCGACCCTCTTAGTGGTGAGGACCGGTGTCAGACCTTTCTCCCTCTGCACAGCTCCCTCCCCAATTCCCTGCCCTCCCCTTTAACTGGCCAGAGCCATCCTCCAGGCTGTGTGTCTCAGAGCCAGTCACCAAGCCTCTCTGTTCTCCTCCATCTCTCTAGAGGGCACTTGATGCACCAGGGCCCTCAAATTTTTTCTTTTGTGAAATAACATCAGAGCAGCCAAGCCCAAAAGCCCAGGTGTCTACTGTCAGCAGAGGGGATGAAGGCCAGCTCCGAGCTACAGCAACTCCTCAGCCTCATGGGAGGGGACACCTGTGTTTTCGACGTCTGCTATTTCTCTGGAGCAAGACAGGCAAGTAAGCCCAATGGGGAGAGCTGTCCACATTCCCAGCTCCCACAGGAGCTGCCCCTCCTCTACACATACCACACATCACGACCTTTCCCTGGCCCCTGCTAGCACAGCCTGTGTTGCTCCGCTGACCCTGCCCACCCACCCATCTGAGCTGATCATGACCCTCCCTTCCCCTATTTCCCAGCAACCCTTGCAGCTCCCTGCTGGCCTCAGAAGCGCAGGTAGGGGCTGAAGGAAAGGAACCAACACATCCAGGCCAGCTCGTCTTCCTCAGTGCTATGAACACAGCAGTGAGGGCTGGAGCTGCAACAGCCAGCTAAGGGTACACGGGGACAGGCAGAGGAAGCCTGGGCCCAAGGGCACCGCTCAGAAGGAAATCACTAAATTGTCCAGGCTGAGCTTAAAACTTGGGATCCTCCTGCCTCAGCCTCCAGAGTTCTGGGACTGTGAGTGTGCATGACCACATCCAGCTCAACCCGCTATGTTCTTACAATTCCATCCCGGATCTTCTGCGTGAATTCCTCCTGTTTGTCTGCACCAAGCTCTCTCCCCAAGATGTCCTTTGATTTTTTTTTTTTTTGTTCATAGGATCCCTGGGGCTTAGAGAAGCCCACTACCGAGCCAAGTAGGGACAGAGGTCCACATGCCCCCCCCACCCTGGAGTGCCCCTCTGTCCACCCACGCTCAAAGTGACTGCAGAAGCAGGCCCAGGAAAAGCGACCCAGGCTGAGATCCTTCAGGTGACCTGGGGCTGACTCCAGGCAGGTGACTCATAACAACGCACCCCACAGCTCGAAGCCAGGGAGACAGGCAGGCACACGGTGACATCATCGGCCACCGGGCCGGGCACAGGGTGTGGCGCAGCCTAGGCTTTGAGAGAGACACCATCGAAAGACAGGGTTGCTCTTCCTTCTAGAACCGGAGAAAGAACAAAGGCCCAGGCCTCCTGCAGCAGCAGAGAGACAGCTGTTTCAGCCTCCTAGGAGGAAGATGGGGAGGCAGATCGCTGTTCAGGACAGAGGCCCAGCAGGGGTAGGTGGAAAATCAGGCAGACATAGCCACGGCTGCGGCCGCCACAAAGGGCCAGGCAGGGCCCACGTGGCCACACCTGTCACACAACACCTTCCCCTCAGGCCCCAGCCGCTGACAGGGGACGCCTGGGACGCACCTGCAGGCAGTACTGGCGGCTACAGCGTCCATCCGGTCACTACCCTCAGCCACTGGGCGGGAGGCCGTGAAGGCCCTGGCCACACCTGTATACCTGGCAGGGGAGCTGCTCTTAGTGCAACCTCCTCCCCTGTTTTTGCAGTGCTGGGGATGGAACCCAAGGCCTCGTGCATGCTGAGCAAGCGCTCACCACTGAGCTGCGGCCACCTCTAGCTCTAACACTTGGTAGCGGTTTAAAAAACGAGGGAAAATCGAGATCGAGCCGCCATGCAAAGGTGTCCAGCTGCCCTTGGGCCAGCTCAGCGACCAGAGGAGCCAGACGCAACCTTCACCTGGCTTTCAGGTGGCTGACACCCAAATCCTCTTTCCACTCCCAACTCGGCCCTGGGGGACCCATGATACCAGACAGCAGCTCCTGGACCCTTTGGGCCACCACACCACCTTCGGCCAGCAGTCCAGCCCTGTTGTCCCTTCTCCCAGTCACTTGTCAAGAAGGGAGGGAGAAGCCAGGCGTGGTGGTGCACGCCTGTAATCCCAGCACTTGGGAGGATCAAGGAGGATCGTTGTGAGTTCGAGGCCCTCCTGGGCTACAGAAGTGAGCGCAAGGCCAGCCTGAACTGCATAGCAAGACCCTGTCTCAAAAAGACCAAAAAAAAAAAAAAAAAAAAGAAAAGCAAAAGGAGGGAGAGGAGGAAAGGGATGCAAGCGCTGTGCCACACTCCTCTCTGGTCGCTTCTGCCACCCAGGGACACTGGGTTGAGGAGAGATGCTCAGAGTGAAGGAAAGGGATGCAAATCAGGGCCAGCGGCCACTCCTCACCTGAACAGCACAACAGCTACAGACACTGACGTAAGAATCCAGAGGACGTAGGAAGAATTGGATGTGTCATGTGCACGGCCCTCCTCGCCAGGAGCGTAGCCATCACCTACTGCTAACACATACTAAAAAAGAAATTTTTAAAAAGGGACCTGGAAACAAATTTTAAAAAAATAAGAAAGGGACCCAGGCATGGTGGTGTACTCCTGTAATTCTAGTCACTTGGGAGCTGAGGCAGGAGGGTCGGGAGTTCAAGGCCGGCCTGGGCAACTGAGCAAGACCCTGGCTCAAAATAAAATAAAACACAGTGCGGGCTGGGCTGTAGCTCAGTGGAAGAGCACTTGCCTACTTAGCACGTGGGAGGCCCTGGGTTCCGTCTCCAGCACCACAAAAAACACCAACGAGAAAGAAAAGAAAAGAAGAGCGAGAACGGACATCTACTGGCAGAACAAGGGGCGTTTCAAGGCTGCCAGATCAATATGCGGAGAAGCAATAGAAAACAGACACCCCTACATGAACTGCAGGATAAAAGGCTTCTGGTCAGAGATTCACCTAATAACGGATGCATAAAGTCCTCATGTAGAAAAATCTAACACACCATTAAAAGATACAAAATACCCCGACAAAGGAAAGCCTGAACAAATTTCCATGCATGCGCATGCGCATACGTGCATGTATGCGCGCATGCGCCACGCAGCCCCCAGGAGCTGGGTGCAGAACCGAGGCTGCCCGCAGGCCCAGGCGAGATACCTATGCAAAGGGCCATTTCCCTGGGAAAGCAGATCCATGCAGGTGCTCCTGTCCCGCCCCTCAGCACCGGGCCCTGTCTCCCCAGGCTGCCCTGCCTTTCTCAGACCCCACTCCCAGCCCCCCTGGCCCTGTCACTAGGGCCCCCGTGGGACTTTAGCCCTGATGCTGGACACAGGGCCACAGGTGGGCAGCTGTCGGGGTCTGCCGAGGACGTGGCCGCGCCAGGCGTCAGTCGCCCCTCTCCTGCCCTTCAGGACTCTTTCAGACCCCACTGATCCCCATCTGAGTGCACCTGGGACAGACACAAGCCTCACGCCCAACCCAACCCCTCCCTCTTCCCATCTGTCCCTGGACCTCAGTTTTCCTACCTGTTAAATAGAGATAATCACCCCAAACTACTGAGACCCCCATCCAGGCCAGAACCAGCACCAAATGCGCCTGATAGAACCTGGCTACAAGCTGGGCTGGGTGGCACACACCTATGTAATCCCAGCACTCAGGAGGCTGAGGCCAGAGGATCTCCACACGTTCAAGGCCAGCCTGGGCTACATGGAGAGTACAAGGCCCACCTGCACCACACAGCAACACCTCGTCTCAAAATGAAACAGAGAAAGAGGGACTGTGCTGCCGCTCCGAGCACCGTCACTGCTGAGGGAATCCTGTGTCCTGACGATGACAGTGACTAGCACCCTGTACCAGGGCCCAGAGGCCACTCCGCCCCGCCTTCCCTTGGGCCTGGGATGCAGGCCTGCGGTTCAGACCTGGTCACCTGCTGCCTGACCCACCACCCCTGGTAGCAGCCCCAGGCTGGGCCCTGTCACAGGGTGTGACTCCCCATGCTGGCTGGGCCACCCAACCTTGAGCCCTTCTGGACTCACACTCAAGAAGATATGCAGCTGGGGCTGGTGTTGAATGCCCGTAATCCCAGGCCTCTGGGAGGCTGAGGCAGGAAGATCCCAAGTTAGAGCCCAGCCTGGACAATTTAGGGAGAATCTGTCTCAAAATAAAAACAAATGGCTGAGGATGTAGCTTAGCATGAAGGCTCTGGGTTTAATCTCCAGTACTGGAAAAAAAAAAAAAGAGTGTGCTGCCTTGAACTGTGCCTGTACTTGTCACGTTCTGAGCCTCTGCATCCTCAGCAGGCAGCCACACTCCTCCTGGGAAAGTCACGTAACCTCTCTGTGCCTCAGGGGTTCCCAGTAACACCTGACTCTTGGGACTGCT